GCTGCTGCTGCTGCTGTTGCTGCTGATGTTACCAGCCTTGACCGTTGGCCAGGGAGTTCGTTATCCAAGATCGACAACAGTCACGCGGATTGCAGCTTAGACGTAAAACCAGCACGAGTTGGGACGATGGTATTTATGAGCTGCCAAAGACGACAGTTACGAAGATGGTCATGCGGACGAGCACCATGCCGATGCCTTGAGACCGCTGGCAATCTTGGGCTGGCGGGGGTGGGGGGGAGGCCAAAACACGCAGTCTCCAGCCAGAACTGGAACATGTATTCTGCAGTCTGCATTGACCATGCTCCACCCAGGCCAATGGACTGAAAGAGCTCATAGGCCCAGAGAGGACCGAGATTCGGCATGGAAAGGGACGGCAAGGGCACTTCGCATGGTGTGCGTTTCAGGCATTTCGCTTTTCGGCTTGAGGTGCGCCAGGGACTGCAGACATCAGGTGTTTTGAAATTGTTTCGGCTTGCAAGACCCAGACTGCCGTCAAGAGCAGGATGAAACAGCTCTTCCAGTCCGGAGGCCTTGGTTTAGGGTTTCGCAGCTGCCGAATCGTAGCGGCGGCTTGCTTCCACAACGCTCGGCTGTGGCAGGAGGTTCCTGAAGCCGCGCCTAGCGTTTCCCTGTATCCAGGCTCTGCCGGCGCTGCCGCCGAAGGCACCTCTAGTGATGTTCAAAGACCGGAGGTTTGCTGCCCTTTGAGTTGAGACACACTAGCTTGGACATTGGAGTCGTCGAGGAAAGTATCCGTTTGAAAATCCTTCCTCAAAGCATAACGGCCAAGAGCGGCCCTGTTGTGAATCGTGATGGCAACTCCACACCTCACGTCACGATCCAGCAAACAAGGACAGAGTAAAGCTAAAGGCAACAGGAACTGCGTCGCGTCCTTGCCGTTCCCGCTCGTGGCGTATGTTGTTGGCGTGTAACGTAGCCGACATGACCTAGTCCGGTGAAAGCAACAGCGGGTTGTTGTTTTTGGGGCACAACTTAAGCACGGACTCGCAAGAGTTCGAGTTCTGAAGACTGTGCCGGTGCAGGCCCCGTTCCATCAGAGGATGCGATGATGCCACTCTTTGGAAAGGCAGAGTCCAAACCGGACTCGAAGGCCTGGAGGGCACTGGCATCTCAAATTTGTGGCATGCTCGGGCTGACATCGTGTAGGCAGTCCTTGAGAGGAGCGGAAAGAGCAAGAACCCACAAAATTGACTAAGTTCGGAAGACCCGGAAACCGTTTCCCCGTTTAATTGATTCTACAACTGGCAGAACGATGCCTCAACATGCCCCTGTGTGTCGTGCGCCCTGTGAACGACATTTGGGTCTTTCCAGAGCAGCTCGAATGCGGGATGGCGTCGGCGCAAAGATTATACAGCCGGATGTGTCGGAGCCAGAGCATGCGCATTGCCGACGTTGGGAGCAGGCGCTTATCATTCAGCGGAGCTGCGGTGTGGCCGAAGCCATCACATGGAGAAAGATTAGCTGCGGGACACGCTTGCCACCGCGCCTTTTCTTGGCAAGGCGCCGGGATTGGCGAGGCGCCGGGAGAACACGACATCTTCGCTCGTGGAGTCGTGCTCACGAAGGCTTCCCTTCCAAGGCTGAATGGGAGGCGATGTAACCAGACGCACCGAAGAAGACCCAGAACGAAGAGCTGTGACAGACTGCGCTGACGCTCGAAAAAGACTAGAGAATTTCAAAAGAAGGAGCAAACTGCTCGAAAGAGACTAGCGTCTTTCAGAAGAAGGAGCAAACCGTTCGAAAGAGACTAGAGAGTTTCAGAAGAAGGAGCAAACCGCTCGAAAGAGGTTGGAGAATTTCAGAAGAAGGAACAAGCCGCTCGAAAGACACTAGAGAATTTCAGAAGAAGGAGTAAACCGCTCAAAAGAGATTAGAGAGCTTCAGATGAAGTAGAAAGCCGTTCGAAAAAGACTAGAGAATTTCAGAAAAGGAGCAAACCGCTCGAAAGAGACTACAGAATTTCGGAAGAAGGAGCAAACCGCTCGAAAGACACCAGAGCATTTCAGAAGGAGCAAACCGCTCGAAAGAGACTAGAGAATTTCGGAAGAAGGGGCAAACCGCTCGAAAGAGACTGGAGAAACTCAGAAGAAAGAGCAAACCGCTCGAAAGAGACTAGAGAATTTTCAGAAGGAGGAGCAAACCGCTCGAAAGAGACTAGAGAGTTTCAGAAGAAGGAGCAAACCGCTGGAAAGAGACTAGAGAAGAAGGAGCAAACCGCTCGAAAGAGACCAGTAGCAAACCGCTCGAAAAAGA